CCATTTGTGCCAGATCTTCAAGTGAAATAGTCCCTTAAAGGATTGAAATAATTGGAAATATTAAACTTTTAATGAAAATGCAGGTGTAATGTCAAAACTAGATCCTGAAACACAGTTTTGCTATATTTGCATATTTGGCTCATTTGTGTTCAGAATGCCTCTGGGTGTGTTAGTAAAGTATTGTTATATCTGAAGGAGGAAGTATTTTTCTGCTGGAGTCATCATGAGAGAAAGAGCACTGTAATGTTAATATTAAGCCTGGTGTCTGGTAAATACCAATCCACCTGTTGGTATTTACCAATGCCCAAAACTGGTATCCACTGATGTATTTTATTTTACGATGGGGAACAATCTTCATTTTCACATATGTAAACTTGATGCAATAAATTGACCTTTTTGTGATCCATACTGGCATTCAATTTGAAGCTGTCAAAAATTATCATAGTGTGGGTAAATATGAATATGCATATTATGATATTGATGAATTTGCATGCTGAATATATAGTTAAAAATAAATGGGTTATTTACTATAAACTGTTTGTTTTCTAAATAAAGACTGACAGAGGATTTGACAAGGCTACTTTTGAAAACCAGATGTCTGTTATGAGGGGGCAGGTAAGACTGCTTTTTTACAATTTTATTTATTTATTTTATTTATTTATTTTATTTATGTATTTAACTGGTCATCACTCCTTAGCTGCTTTCTTTAGAGCTACAAAAACTAACTCCTATGAACAACATTTGAAGGAATTTTCATCTGAGAAGACTAAATTTCTTTCTAGAGTTTGTTCTTATTTGTGGATAGATAAAACAGTAGAAAGTGTATGCTGATTTTTTTTTTTTATTTTTACAGAAAGTGCTTTTATTCTAATTCTGTTTTATTGGTTTTGTGGGGAAAGAGGGGACATAACTGTATATTCTTGGCAGGTATTTTAAAAATGAAAAAGAGTCATAAATTTGGAAGGAAAATTTGATGTCTGATTTCATGATGCTATTAAAATAAATGTGACTTTATTTTAGAGGGTCAACCTGATTATTAAAAGCAATATTAGGTAATAAAATTTCTTCATCCTATCAAATGTTGAAACCATACTTCAAAACAGTCCAGCCAATTTCAGTTTAGAAATTTGATCGTATTTAAATGCTGGGCTTGTTTGGTTTTGTTTTCTGGATTTTTTGTGGGGTTTTTTTTGTTTGTTTTTTTTGTTTTAACACTAAAGTAAGTGAGGAGGGGGTTTCTCCATTCCTCCTATTTTACAATTTGACTGATGTCAAATACTGAAGAAAACGCTTTAGCAAAGAATAAATTTAGTTCATTGTAGGTATAAGAGAGTGATTTCTTCAAGTGTAGGGCAATTGAACTAGGCAAATTAATAGTCCCATTTGCCCTGAATTTATTGAAACTTAGTCCTTGTGTTCATAAATTCAAATGGATAGTTTTAAGACAATTTCTAGAGTGTCTTAACTCAATGTTTTCTCTGTAGAATTTCCTATATCAAGATGTACCTTGCACGAGACTGCAGCTCTGCTTAGTCAAACATAATCCCAGTTAACATCTTTTGTGTGGTAGCTAAAAGACAGCAAGCCTTACTTACTAAATTGAATATTAGGAGTTGTTTCTGAAATAAGTCTTCTGAGAAGTTTGTGTAGTCACTGGAAGGCTGGTTCTTGAAGTACTCATGCATCCTAAACTGTATTAAGTAGGTTTTTTCTGATGAGACAATTGGCTTCAAGGAATCTGTTATTTCACAAAACACTTGAGGAAAAACATGATTGATATAATTGAGAATGATGTAGCTGAGGTTGTCAAAATTAATTTTCCACTATAAAGGCTGCATATGGACCCTTTCTTCACGCACTGTCCCTCAGGTGGATTTTAGCAGATACTAGTTTTAGTTTTGGGATATTGTTTACCTCTCTCTAACTGTGTAAGAGTGTGTTTCACTGTGGGAAATGTCAGGTTTTCAGGCATGGAAGATATGCAGTAATGAGTAATCCTTGGATGCTATTGGAAATACATTGGCAGACAATGCCTTTTAGCACTGATTTTAAACTTGGTTTTGGTGTAAAACCAAAATATGTTACTAGGGCATTATAGAAGACTTGGCTATAGACTTTAGATCACATGCTAAAGGATTCATTCAGTTGGGATGAATTTGCAGTATATCCAAAGCATTCAAATATATCCTTAAAAATGAGAAATTAAGAATTAGAAAATGAAGAATCTAGATACAGAAACTGTAGGGAAACATACCTTGCATGGAAGAGTCAAGGTCTTTAAGATAGCAAACATAGTTAGAAGCCTATTTCTGTGAAGTGTAGGAAAATTTTGGGAAGGGTTTCAAACCCAAAAGAAACAGTTCTCTCAAGAATGTAGAGTCTAAGCAACGGGTAACACATCTACAAAAGGTTGCCTGAGAACTCTGAGAATGTAAATGTCAAGGGGAGGTGCTAGCAGAACCAAATTGCAGTAAATCATGCAAGACTTTGTTGGGGTTCTGTGGCCATGGAAGAGCAGAAGAAGCAGAGGATCAGTCTTACAAGGAAGAAAAGGGCATTGTGCATGGGAAAAAAGGCTTGGTATTAAGGATAACGCAAATGTGTCACTAGAGCTAAATGGAATACTTGCCTCAGTTTTCAGCAGGATAACATTGAACATGGAGTAAGTTATGAGGGCAGTCCATGAGCACTGAAGTTTTGGAGGAAAGATAACAGACTTCTTGGAGCTGAGGCCTGAATTTGGGTCTTAGCACTGGGTTTGGTATGAGCTAATTATATGACTTCATATCTTCTGATATGAAAATAAGTTATAGCTAAACTGCTGGTACATCTTATGTTAAATCATGTTGATGGCTTTCTTATAGGCCTTTTTTTCACTAAAGGTGCAATGCTTTCAAGAGATGTGCTAAATTTAAAATATTCTTAGAATTTTCTGAAAATTTGAAGAGGACTGCATGAAATAGGAAAAGAATGGAAGGGTAGACAGCAGTAGGATGTATTCATGTTACCAAATAAATAAAACATTTCTACTTGCAATAGCTATCTTTTGAAATGAATTTATTTAGCAGTACAGTCCTCTACAGAATTGAAGAGTGGCATCTAAAATGATAAGCCTGATAGCCACAGTTTTATTTGTGCATCCTAACCTCACCTGCTTTTACTCTTTTTAGATACTAAACCTTACTCAGGCATTAAAGGATGAAAAGAGTCCCATTCAGCTTGTTCAGATGCCACGTGTGATTGTAGAGCGAAGTAGCACTGGAAGTCAGGGCCGAATTGTTCATCTGAGTAATGCTTTCACACAGACCTTTCACAGCAGGAAGCCTTTCTTTTCCTCCTGGTAGCAACAAAAATATGTGGGAAGAGTAAGTTTCTCTAAACTTTAGAAAGCTACTTCTGTGTAAAGGCTCTGCAATAATGTACTTCTGCTGTATACCAAGAGCTCTGACTGCCAACACCTCAGAACTTAAATTCTAAAGACTTAAGAAATGTAGTTTGAATGTAATAAAAGTTTACAATTTTTGTGTCAAAATTGTGAATTCTTATGTCAGGGAATGAAAAGAATTTGTCCATACTGTATTTTTATAGGCTAAATTAATGTATTCTGAATAATATTCTGGATAAGGGAAGAAAATTTGCATATGCTGAGAAACTAATTTTGAGTACAATAGGAATTTTTTGTTTAATATAAATGTGAGAATCCATACACTATAAGTTTCTTTTTATATGGCCTTTAAAAAAAACGTTTAGAATGTTATCTTTGATTGTGAAAATGCTTTTTCTTGGAATTTCTTCCTGGTATTTTGAACTGGTTATAGATTTTTGTAGACTAGTTACTTGAAAAGTCATGCACTTAAAAAAAAAAAGATCAATCTGTCCTTGAAATACAAGTTAAAGAAATGGAGAAGGGGGAAAAATGCTCAAAGTAGGCTTTTTTTGCACACAGGGACCAAAAATAGTTTAATAGTTGAATTACAGCAAAATTCAACCCAAGTAAATACACAGTTTCTACTGTGACAAAATACACTCAGTGTATGTTTCAGAGGCTGAAATGTCACTGTAGTGTTTGGCACTTGTATATTTAAGCACATGTATGAAGATCTGTGATATTTCTTTGGAGATGCATCACCATGAAGGAGTTGAATTCCACCATATTGTTACAGGTTTGTTTTGCCATTTATGTAAAAATGTGTTCATCTCTTGTCACCAGAGTGGTTCTTCTGCTAATGACAGAGGCACTAATGTGTTCATCACAAAGCCAGTCTGCCTTCTAAATTTCTACCTAAACACAGTTTGGGTTTTTTTGACTGGAAAAAAAAAAAAAAAAAAAGAGGAAAAAAACCTGGAATACCTACAGCATGGAGAATTACTTTTGTGCCCTGGATAATGTTGTGCTCACCTGCCAATTGTCATTTGCATTTATGTTTAAGTTACCTGGTTTAAGACTTGACAGTCATGTTTCTAGGTCTGTGACTTATGTAATGTGGGAAATATTTTTATTTTAATAATTTTCTGGACATTTAAGACTGGGAAGGGGAGAAAGATTGCTGCTTTTATGAAACTTTCAGTATTTCAGACATTGCTGTATTTTGTAATTCTAAGCAATATTGTTGAACTCAGAAATAATAAAATGCTTGTATTTTATATAATTTTGAGTGTGAATATTAATGTAGTATGTCAGCAACTTCAACAACCTGAAACGTGTAAACCTTAAACGTCAAACACGGTACAGTGCGGTTCAAAATGGAGGGAAGTGCCTGCCTAAGCTCGCCCTGGCTGTTTCTGTCCGAGCAGTTTATCAATAAATGAGCGCTGTTGTGTGTGGGGCTGCCCGCGGCCCCGGGCCTGCTCTGGGCTCTGCGCGGGGCCGCCGCTCCGCTGGGGGGCGCCACCAGCCCGCCCGCCCGCCCGCGCGGTGCCCGTCGGGACGGAGGCGGGGCCATGGCGGCGGCGGCGGGCCCGGAGCAGCTGCGGCCCGCAGCGCTCACCCTGCTCGGGCCGGCGCCCGGCGCGCCCTGCTGCCCTCACGGTGAGCCGGGCCCGGGGCTCATCTCCCCAGCGTCCCTGTGCTCAGCTCCCGCTGCGCTCCCGGCGCGGGCTGATCTGCTGCAGGCTTGCGGAGGCCGTGTTCTGGAAGCTCGGCTCTTGCAGCGGAGCAGTGAAACAGGGCTGCAGGTGTTCCCTGTGTTATCCTATCCTCGCGTTTGTCCCTAGGTCCTGCACTTCTGTTTGTGAAGACCAGCCAAGGAAAAGAGGAAGGAAGAAGATTCTATGCTTGTTCGGCTTGTAGGGATAGAAAGGATTGTAACTTTTTCCAGTGGGAAGATGAGAAGGTAAGAGAGCACTGCTGAAGGCTATGCTAAAGACTCAGGGCTGCCAAGGTCATCAGAGGCCTGGAGCATCTTCCCTGTGAGGGAAGGCTGAGAGAGTTTGGGTTATTCAGCGTGGAGAAGAGAAGGCTCCGGGAAGAGCTGATAGCAGCTTCCCAATACCTGGAGGGGGCTCCAGGAAATCCGGAGGGGGACTTATTGCAAGGGCGTGTAGTGGAAGGACAAGGGGTGATGGCTTTGAGCATTCGGAGGAGAGGTTTAGATGAGATATTAGGAAATTCTTTACTGTGAGGGTGCTGAGGTACTGGAAGAGTTACCAGGAGAAGCCGTGGATGCCCCATCCCGGGAAGTGTTCAAGGCCAAGCTGGGTGGGGTTCTGAGCAACTTGGTGTAGTGGGAGGTGCTCCTACCCATGGCAGGAGGGTTGGAGCTAGATGATCTTTATGTGCCTTCCAACCCAAGTCATGCTATGGTTTTATAAAACATTGGCGATTTTTTTTCTCTATTTAGCAATTTAAAAGGTATATTTTATTGTGGAAATCTCTGGTAAGTCCTATTTTCTAAACTTGGTGTAATAATTGATATTTAGCTGAGCACTTATTTCTGTCAGGAGAACATGTTTCAAATACAGCTTTCAAGAAAGGCTGTGTACATTTTGAGCAAACCTGGCATTTGTTATTCTATTGCCAAAACATATAGGAAGTTTGCCAATGCTTTGCAATGTTGAACAAAATTGGGTACTTCTGATCCCAAGATGCCCTTGTTTCCCCTAATTAAGACAGAGAAAATCTATTGGATACAAACAACAGTGGGGTATACAAAATGCTGAGATGGTGGGGCTTGGCATGGTGCTCGGTAGTCTCAGAATATCTGCAGCAATTTCTCTTTGTCATTCATTTTGAATATCACTTGCATTATGATGTATTTTCTTGCATTGAATTTTACTGTTGTCTCTTTAAGTAAAACAGTTCCATAAGTTTTGACCAAATGTTTTGAAACTGTTGTGAAACCATGAGTATGTCTTGTGGGGACAAGATAGAAGACTCAGAGAAGAGTGTGAGAGACTGAAATTTAAAGACTCAGGTGCAGATTGTAACAAGGAGCTGTCGTGCCTTAAAAGTGATTTCACACTAAAGACTCGGGCAACATTTCTACTGTCATCAGCTTATCAGGATCAGATCATAGTTCTTCAGAGGGACCACAACTGCTGGCACACATTAATGGAAAGGATGGCTCTTTCTGTCTTCCTCAAAATCACCTTTTGAATTTTTCTCTGAGTATTACATGTGATAGGAGAATGAAATGCATAGTTTAAATTCACAACGAGAGGCTTGTGTTGTTTTGCAGCATGCCCCTGTGCTGCAGACATACTTGTTCTTCTGAAACAACAAAAGCAATCATTTCTCCTTGCTAAGTAGCTAAAGCATGAGACATTTGATGCACCCTTTTTTCATATTGAGATTTGATGTACCACACACAGTTGTAGCTGTTAGTTTTATAACTTTTCATGTATGCAAATTTTACAGGTGTCAGAAGCTAGGCTTGCAGCACGTGAAGAATATAATAGAAGTCAGCAGCCTTGTTTTACACACAGACAGAATGTGGACAGGTATTGTTAATGTATATTTTCTGCAGTAAAGATGTAGTAATATAGGTAGGTTTAGGTACTCTGAATGTAGGGATAACATTTCAAGATTCTTTAAAATATGAAAAGATGAATTTGGGCAAATAAGAATTGTTGTATGGCAATGGAAAGGAAATAGCCTGAAACACTGAACTAGAGCATGGTGTTTTCATCCCAGAAACTGGGGGGAGGGCATTGGGGTTTTTTCTGGGGGTATGTACAGTCATTCCTATGTTAGTGCTCATAGTGTGCTTACAAGAGGTCAGTAGTAATTTCTGTTAAAAAAGATTTATTCCTGACTTTAGTCTACAAAAGAAACAGGCTTAACATTGTGAAAAGAAGTAAAGGTAACATAGTAACAAGTGATGCCTGAATTTCATGTGTAAACATACAGGACTTTGCTGATAGTTGATGGTGTCTTCACTTTGTAATCCAGTTATTTTGTGGAGAGTCCCAGTATATTTGGTGGCAATATTTTATGCATTTCAAAGTGTCCTTTGAAAATTTTTTTTATAAATAATACTTCATTCTTGTGGAGTTTTGTGAGAGCAATGTAAACTGCATTGTCTGTTTAAGTATCTGAACTCCTAAAATATTAAAAAAACCCTCCATAGCTTCCCTTCCTCTTTGAGAGAGGCTTTTTCCAAACTTTGTTCCCTGTTGTCTTTTGTATTTAAAGGTACAAGAATTTTGTTCTGTTGCCATTATCAAAGAGGAAGTTTTGCCAGGAATGCCAGCAATTGCTTTTGCCAGCAGAATGGAAAAAACATTCAGATCACCAGCTCCTGTGTGATATCACCACTGCCCAGCTGAAAAATCCAAGTCAGCTTCTGTATCCACTGGAGAATAAAAAAACAAATGCACAGTATTTATTTACAGACAGAAGTTGCCAGTTCCTACTGAATCTCCTTATAGATTTAGGATTCAGACGAGTCCTCTCTGTTGGAACACCCAGGTACATCACTGAGAATTGTTACACTTTCACATAGTATTTCTGTCTCAAAGCTGTACAGCTTACTAATGAATATAGTCAATGATTTTCCCATAAGAGGTTCACTATTGGTGAGCCTCTATTAGTTGGGATTATCCAAGCATTTAGTGGGGTCTAGCTTTAAAATCTTAAAATACCAGAGAAGACTGTGGCAACACTGCCAATAACACACATACACACTTCACATACTATCTATGATAGTTATGGAAGTGACATTGAGTTTCTTACCTTGTGATTTTTTGTGTGTGGTGATCCAGGGGACTCCACTGACTTGTCATCTTTCAAGACTAACCTATTTTTCTAACTTGGAGTACAGGCCAAACGGAATCACTGAAGTTTAGGCTCCTCAGTTTTCTCTGTTTGGTTTATGTTTAGTAAAGTACCAGGCATTCTTGTCTTGCAAGATCATTTCTGAAGTTGGTCATTATGTGTTAAATTTCTTCCAATTATACTTCAGGCTTCATGAAATGATCCAGTCAAAAGCATCACAAGAAGAAGAATTCAATGTTAGAGGTCTTCTGCTAGATATTGATTTCAGGTAGGTTTTAACAAATGTTTACATATCTGAAGAACATATACAAAGATGGGTCTTCTTACTTTAAGAGATAAATTGGTGGTTGTTTTCCCTTTCTTGTCTCTGTATCTCTGTTCCTGTATGCATACACAAATGGCATCCAGTTGATGAGAAAAGTATATTTAATAATTTCTCAGTATTGGTATGTGTTGTCAGTAATCAGAACCCAAACATGATGTTTCTCCTGAGGCTTGTTTTCACTCTAAATATCCTATCCTAGGATAGACAAAAAGTTATTTATATTTTTCTACTCCTATCAAAACTTACTTTACAGGTATTCACAGTTTTACACAGAGGATGAATTTTGCCATTACAACATGTTCAATCATCATTTTTTTGGTGGAGAGGTAAGGTCAAGTATTTATTGAGTGCTTTGGTAAAAAAGTGCATGTTGTTGATGCAGAATTTTGTAGGAAATTCATGACTACTCTAGTAGAAAACATCATGGGAAAACATGAATTAATTAAGAACATTTTAATAGAAGCAGCAATTAAGGTGTGTAAACAGCATTACTTAGCATAAGTGTAATAGCTTTGAATTGAATGGAAGAGAACTACTGGAAAGGAGACAGTTTCATTCTTTGATTTTCAGTAATGTTTTATATGTTAGCTGAACAGGGCACTTGTTTTCAGTCCTTCAAATCTAGGTGCATTTTTTGTGGATTTTTTTTAAATGCTACCCAAGAGGAAATTCACCTCCACAAGAGGGAAGCAAAGTTCCGTCATCATAGTTGAAACTTCTGCAGTGATTGGTTTATTACCAGAGACAATGTTTACCGTTCTTGAATAATGATTTCTGGGAATTAACCTCTGTTTCTTACAGGCTGCACGTGAAACTTGCAGGAAATTCTTGTGTGAAGAGATTGGTGAAAGAGTCATTATGGTAGCTGATCCCCCATTTGGAGGTTTAGTGGAAGCACTGGCTTCTAGTTTTAAAAAACTGATGGCAATGTGGAGTGAGACAGAAAAAGAAGGTATGTACTACAGCCAGATGGGTGGCTTGTGCTGTAACATCACTTTAAGTAAAAAATACCTATTTATAAGTTTGTGATTCTTGCTACTCAGGTGAATGTGAGCATCCTCATGTTACAATTTCTAAAGATGAACTATCATGTACCTGATTTACTCTCCTGATATTTTTAGTTCAGTAATGCCCAATTCTCAAAGTCTGTCTTAAAACCTTTTCCCTTTTTTTTTTGCAAATCTACTTTGCAATTAAAATGGGCTTTAAAGGTAGAGAAAAATAAGCTATCAAACCAGTATATTTTCTTAGCGACCTAAGTGGATGTCAAGAGTGTAATTACATGGCACTTACATCTCCACATGTACAATATGCCAAAACTTTCTGTTGCCTAAGAGAACCAGTTCTTCTGCCCAGCATGATGTACATATCCACGTTTATGTATTTGGAATGTTCACTGTAAATTTCTCATGCTACATGTATTATGTTTTTCTCCTATGTACACCAAAGCTTTTTCATTACTAGGTCATGACAACAGAGAGATGCCCATGTTCTGGATATTTCCATACTTCTTTGAGTCTCGCATTCTTGACTTTTTCCCGAGCTTCAGTATGATGGATTACCAGGTATGGCTGAACCCAGTGACTCTGCTAATTATACCAGCTGTGTGCAATGTGAGAGGAATATGAGTGAAAGCAGGTGCAGTGGCAATGCTTCTCTGTAGCTGGGCCTTGTTTATGTGAAGCCTGGATTCTGTATTTCTATTAGTTGTATCTGTGATAACTTGATCATGTTCCTATTATGTATCTTTAACTCATCTGTCATTTATCCATTATCTCATTTCTTCTGGCAGGCTTTCAGTATAACAAATTTGCACTAATTGTGACAGGTGCTTGTTGCAAAGGTGAGAGGTAACTTGTATGTTGAGTACATAATGAGTGTGCTCAATAACAAATGTACATAACAAATGAAGAGTATTTTTATTCTTCACTGATGTTAAATGTCAGTGGGTAGTGCCCAGCCTAAAAAAAATATATATATATATATTACAAAACTAAGGTCTTTCATCTCCAAAACTACTGGGATCAGAGTAGAATTGCAATCATGGAAATGTTTGGAATTAATAAGTAAACTTGTCAGTGATAAAGCAATGATCTGGCATCAGCTTCTTCAGTATTGTATCCATTCTGTGCATAGTTTGGGCACACCTACTTCAGTGTGTTTTGACAGCTCAGTCATGGGTATTCGTGATACTAAAGGTTTATTTTTTCATGTAACAACTCTGCATGAATTTTGGCATTGATGTTCTGAACAGTGTGTCTTGTAGAATGAAAATTGTTGAAGAAAATTGAAAACTCATGCTAGGCTAGACTCTGCATTCCTTGAGAGTTTTTGTGACAAGTCTCTGAAGGCAGTGCTGGAAAAAGCAGGCTGATTGGATTTGCAACTTTGTAATTTCTCTGAGATAGGTTAAGATGTCATCTCTTGTACTGACAAGCCAAGCTGTATAGATCATTTTTTTACAGCAGGTTGCTCTTGTAATCAACTGCAGTGTTATCTTACATATCCCATGCAAACAAGCAAAAAGGAATAAATACAGTATGATTATTGAGGTGTAGTGAGTCTAGCCTAATACTATGTTTGCACAAATTTACAGGTAAATGAGACTAAAAACTTGATGTATAATTTGTAATCTGATTTGGGGTTAGAGTCTTGTATATAAACACGAAGATTTCATAAGGCACTTATAAAGATAATAAATATGTAAACAGCTCTGCCTGTGCTTGACATTCAGTTTAAGAATCTTTTTTATGGTTTTATTTTTCTAGGTAGACTATGATAATCATGCACTGTATAAACATGGCAAGACAGGTCGTAGACAGTCTCCTGTCCGTATTTTCACAAACCTTACCCCCAGTATGATTGTGCTTCCTGAAGAAGAGGGATATAGGTAAGATATATTAATGCTCAGGTGACTTTTGAAAGAGTGTCTTTTTTCTTAATTAGGGCATAAAGTCCCCAAAGGAGTTTGGGATGGTGCTGTTCCATAGTGTCTTGCCTAACTTGGATGCCGGCCTTAAGACCACATTTTTCTGTCTCATTCTAAAGTTGCATATTATATAAACAATGTGTAGGAGAGCTGAAATGTCTAAAAAGACTTTTAAATTTTTCAGTGTGGAATTACGAGATTCCTTATTTTGTCTGTAGGAAATACTGTCTTACATCTACAAGACAATTTTACAGCTATGTCTGACAATCAGCTGTTAATACATTACTAAAAAAACGAACTTGTAAGAGAAGCATCAAGGAGAGAGAAATTTAGTTTCATTTACTACTGATGCTGTTGATAATTTGACCTGAATTTTACTGTGTGGATGTACTGTGTGTAAATGGCCTAAGTGCTCATTTGTGCAGCAAAGACAGAATTTTTAATTCAACAAAGCGATTTTGCAGTCCTTATATTAGTGGTTAAGGTTGTATAAAATTAATTGTTTTGTGAACAAATAGGGGACCAGTACATCTTTTTCCCCAGATTTTGCAGTGTATGTCAGCGATATGTTAGTTCTGGTAACCAGCACTGTGAGATATGCAATTCATGCACATCAAAAGTAAGTATTTTCACTTCTTTCTGAATGGAAGTTTTAGCAGTAGTCAGATAACAACCTCTGTAATACTTGCTTTGGTAAAAACCTGTTCTGATACTGGGTTCCATGGGAAACCCACAGCAGTTCAGTTTCACAGATTTATTATTACCTTCACAGTACATCTTCCATAGCCCACTGAGAATTAATTTCTCTTTCCCTAATTCCTTTGTGTTGCAAAGAGGACAGGACAAGTTTGCTGCTTGCCATTTAGACCAGAGCTTACCCAGCTGTGGTCTGTTGACACATGCGTTTTTGCTCATGCTTTTAAGTTGTAGAACTTGCTAAATTTCAAAATTTCATCTGTGGTTTTCACAGATTCTCAGGACTGTTGTTTCTGACTCACAGTCCTTCTTACAGAGGAGTTGTTCCTGTAAACAGTGGGGACTGTACACAAGTAGTTCTATTTTAAGATAGAATCAGTGCGGGGTTCAATAAACAAAACCATTTATTTGCCTTTTGTAGGATGGCAGACGATGGAAACATTGTGTTCTTTGCAAAAAATGTGTAAAGCCCTGTAAGTACAGAAAAATATTTTCTAACTAAAAGTACATTTAGTCCAAAGAAACTGAAATTCCAAACCAGAAGAGAAAATATTCTGTGAAAGAAGTAAAATGTAATTCAGAAGACATAGAATACAAAAAGTCTCAATTTCACACAAGTTACTATTCTTTAGTTTAGCTGTACTTGCACTGTGTAGAAGTGGAATAAATTCTTGCCATGGCACACTAAATCCCATTTATATTTATCATGGCAAAACAGAAATATTTCCATTTGTCATATAAGTATTTCCTAATTTTCTAAACTTTAATTTCCTAAACAAGTAGGCAAGTACTAAAATGTTTGAGAGATCATGATAAAATTATGTTTCATGCACAAATTTAGTTGCATTTATACCTCTGTATAAATTTCTGAAGCCATTATCTTTGTTACTGTTACAACAATCAAAATATCTGAGTACATTGTAACATCTGCACTATTTTTGTTTTGAAGATGACACACAGGATAAAAGTTCTAATGGCAAAATAGTTCACACTTAATTTGACAGTATGTCTAGTAATGTGCTAAGGGATCAGAAAGTGACCACATCTATCTTTGTAAAGCTAATCCAGAATTAAACACCTGGTAATGTGGCCTGTGTTTAAAGCTTAGTTTCAGAATGTTCGTTTTAAACTTCTCCAAGATAATAAATCATGTTATCTATTTTGCAGCTTGGTTTCACTGTAACAATTGCAAGTGCTGCACTCTTCAGCAGCACAGCTGTGAGAAGACTGACAGTGGCTGTTTCGTTTGTGGCAAGGCAGGTCACAAGCGCAGTGCCTGTCCCAGTCTGTCCCGCAGCAGAGCAGCTTGTCAGTAAGTGTGATACTGCATTAACACAGTGAAATACAGCATTCCAATGAGATGAGATCTTATGGCAGGCAATCCGTTCAGAGAGAGATGATTTTCCACTTTAGGTACTACTGATGTCAGCTTTCCCTATTGCCCACTTGCTGCATTGCTGGGAGTATATACTGAAGGGAGGGTGGGATAAAAGGCAGGTCACTTACTGGGGCTCCCAATTCCCTGTCTGTGGGTTTTCTTTCAAAACTGATTTATATGAATTGCAAACTTGGTGACTGCTGCATGGAGCTCTGTCAAGATGACTGAAAATTGAAGTAATGGAACACTTTTATCCCCTTTGAATTCGTTATGAAAGGGCAGAGAGAAGAGTCCCTATAATAAGAGTCACTAAGAGTCACTAGTTATTGCTTCCTGTATCTTTTGCTTTGTTGTAGCATATTCTGCTTTTTTTCCTTCTGGTACTTCAGCTGCTTTTTGTAGTATGATCTAAATCTCCACCATTAATGAGGATCACATTGAGTACTTTTATTCTTCCATGATTTTCCTTTTGTTACATACAGAACAACACTACACATACCTGTATGTATCAGAGAGCCAAGTGAATGGTGTGTGAAAACATTATGAATGTTTTCAGATGGAACTAACTGAAAAGAGGAAAGGGGATTTGCTAAGAGATGATCCAGCAGATGGCTCAGTCTTTCCAGTTCAGGATAATTGATTGCACTTCTATTAATTCCTCTCCAGAGTAGTGGGTTTTTCTGTGATTTTGGATTTGAATGGCTGTAGCAGTGGAAGGCAAATTTTCCCTCCCCAAAGCTCTACCTGTGTTACACAGTGAGACTCACACCATTATCCTCTTGGATCAGTATCCAGAGACTCATTAGATGCTTGCTGATGGGTACAGGTGTATTGCTTCATATCCTACTGATACTAAACCAGGTTTTGCTTAGGGAGTATTAGACACAAAAAGCAGCAAAAAATGTTTCATTTTATATATCTCTCAAAAAAAATTAAATCTCTTAATATTTCTTTTTTCTTTACTAAAAAATTAAAAAGAATGCTAAAAGAATTTCATGAAACCTCATCTGTTTTTTCTGTCAAGGAGGATACTGTTCTGTCAGTTGTGCCAGAGTGGTTTTAGTACTTTCAGGCCATCAGTTAGTTCTTTTGCTGATTCATTGCAGAAGATAACTTAGATTTCTTTTTCTAATAAAAATTTTGTATGGTTGTTATAATTACTCAGTGTTTTGCATTATGACATCTTTTGTCAGAGAAGAAAACAATCCACTTGCTAGTTGTATTTAGGTCCTGTACTAATTGCAGGATGCTTCCTACTGGTCTTAAACTTCACATACTTTCTTCTAAGTCTTTCTATTATATATGCATGCATTATATATTCAGCATGAAACTCTGTGTGCTTTTTTGTACTCAGTGAATGAGTTTCTTGTTTTCAATATCTGTGTAAATTTAAATGCTGAATAAATACATAAAATGAATGTATAATGGCAATAAAGTGGACAGATTTGTGAAGTTGAAAGACCATAACATTTTGAGATGTAATGTTCATTGTCCTTTTTGTGACAGTACTTCACATACTGCCACATAATTCATAATTCACACATAATATACTCATTTAGAATACCAGCAAATGTATTTGTACAGAGAAGTGTGTTTTTCATTTTATTCTAATCTCTATGTTCCTTTTTTTGCTTTACAGACCTGACAAAAAGAAAGGGCAGAAAACTCGAAAGAGAATAAAAATGGGGATCTGTAAAAGATTAGCTATGAAACATGCCATATTCTCCAAGAGGAAAGTAAAGAATAAGAAAAAAAAGACATGACTTTTCTTGCTGCTACATAATTGCTAATTTATTTTTTTATTGTCAGCCTTTTGTTCCATTTTCTAAAAATGTAAGTGTTAACATCCAGAATAAAACCTGATTGACTCAAGTGACAGTTCCTTTATTATACATCATTACTGGTACCAAAAAAAAAAAGAGGCAACCCCAAAACAGCTTAGTGAACTATCACAACCCTTACCATGTATTTGTATAATGTGATAATTTTGTATTTAGGATTAGCTGTTTGTCTAATTTGGTGGGTGTTGGATGTTATGGGTCTCACTGAGAGGTGAGGTACTGGCTGATGCTCTGGTTTTATGTTGGTATTGGAGGATTTGGGGCAAGGGAGGAAGTGAGGGTAGGTGATGGGAAGGCACGAGTTCTAGGAATGCGGTCTCAGTTACAGTTGTGAAAAATGCCAATCACTTGTTTTTAAAATCTTAAAAGTTTAATAGTAATAAAATGCTTATAAAAATAGTAATACAATTACAGTAATAATAATTTGGACAATTTGGATTAGGACAGTATGAGACAATAGAAACAAAGAGTTATGGACGTCCGGGTACCTTTTTCTGGGCATAAGCCTGAAAAAGGACCCCCATTAACAGAGGATTAACCCTTAAAAACAGTAGCCCGTTGCATATTCATACATCTCATACGTGATGCATAAATTCCATTCAAACACAGGATTCTGTCAGGTCATCGTCAGCTTCTTCCTCATAATCCCAATGGCGTCGTCCTGCCTGAGCGAGATGGGAAGAGGTTCGTTTCTCCTGATAATGGGGCAATAAATTCTCTTTCTCTGAAAGATTTAGGTGTCCTGTGGCTGCTATCTCAGTGCGAGTCCTTTCTTTAGAAAAAAAAGTATCTTACATAGCACAGTTTCTATTTTAACAGTTTTTATAGACTTAAGAGAATTAATACAGCATTACTTCCTAACACACCACATATAATATTCAATTTAATATTTGCGAAAAGCCAATCATAAAATACGCATTTTTCACACAATCGTCTCACAGGAAGACTTGTGAACTTTTAAAAATTTCTCTCCAAGTGGAAAAGAGGCTTTAAAAAAAAGTATTTAGTACTTAGTAAGTGAGCGGAGCGGGAAGAGCCTGGCTCGGCGCTGCGGCGGGGCCCGTCCCGCTGCCGGGATCTCCGCCCCACTGCCGAGGCCCGCCCCGATCTCAGAATTCCCCGCCCCGCTCTCAGAATACCCCGCACGGCTGCCGAGGCCCGCCCCGCTCTCAGCATTTCCCGCCCCGCTCTCAGAATTCCCCGCCCCGCTGCCGAGGCCCGCCCCGCTCCTGGCCGCTCCTTGCCGCGGCGGGAAGCGCCTCCCCCGGAAGCGGGAGCAGAGGCCCGGCGGGCCCCGGCGGAGCCCCGCAGCTATGCCGGCCTTCAGGCAGGTGGGCGAGAAGCAGCTGCCGCAGGAGGTCGTGTTCATGTCGTGGTCCCCCAAAAGGGACCTCATCGCCCTGGCCAACCGGGCGGGGGAGGTGAGTGCGGGTGCCGGGTGAGGGGCACGGGAGGAACGGGCGCTGCCTCTCCCTGCAGGCCCAGGTGCCTTTGCCGTTACTTGGGGCTTGTTTCTCTTAAGCCTGGCCAGGCATTCAAGGATAGCAAATGTTGTAAATCAAACGTCTTAATAATGCTCCTGCGTTTTTTGCATTCTGATTTCCGAACAAATTCACGTATGATGTGCTCCTCTCTTGTTTGTGGGATTTTAAAGTGCATGGAAGTTCCTATTTAAATTAAATTTAATTTAAAGTACTTTTTCCCCTGGAACTGAAGTATGTGATCATGCATGAAGACAAGACTCATGCTTTTGGGCTGTCTGCTAGAGAGCTGATGGGTAAGCCCTGTTGGTTAGGAGCTTGTATCCTTATGCAAGGCTCAGCTTATTTCTCTGTACTGCTGTAAACTGTGTGCTGCCCTCTTAAAGAGTGTAGGAGTGAATCATCTGCTAGAGGGGCAGGTGTTTAAAACACAGGAGTTAAAAACTGATAAAAAACTCCGTGCATCTGGAACTGATTTGCAAACTTTTATTAATGGGAGAATGTGGTTTAAGTTTGTCTTTAATGCATTTGCTTTGTAGGTTTTACTTCATCGGCTTGCAAACTTTCAACGTGTGTGGAGTTTGCCTCCAAATGAAAATACAGGAAAAGAAGTGACTGCTCTTGCTTGGAGACCAGATGGCAAAAGTAATGTCAAGTATATGAGATGATATGATGCAATAAAACCCATGGGAAATCATGAATGATGATGCCTCTCATCGGTGCAGGAAATTTTCAAGTAAACTGTGTTTGAAGAGAAGGGTGGCTTAATTTTATGTAGGTTCATTCACAGCAATAGAGAGATTAACACTGTTGGATGCAATTGCAAGAAAGACTTGTAAGCCAGATTTATGTGCCAAATGCTGCTTTTCAGGGTATAGTAAAATTTTAACCTCTTAACTATGCAGGATATTTTGTATGAACTACAAAGTTTATTGAGGGAGAAAGAAGCTGTCTGATCAGGATTGATTGAAAAGCTTAGCTTACCATAGGCAAAACTTTGTAGGCTAAAATTGCTCTAATTATAGACTAGAGAAGAAAAAAAAGCCTTTTCCTTATTAATAGAAATAATGTTGAAGTTAGTAGCTTAATAAACTTATGCCAGAAATCAGTTAATTTTTGCTTTACTGGAGGTGGGAGAATGGGAACAATCTTCTTCTATGACATGTGGATAAAAATTGATGGCATCCGAAGAGTTTAAGAAACTTCTTTTTAAGCTGATTACCTGTGATTATAAGGAAGTAAATACAGAAACCTCTGCCTGCTATTTGCTATTAAGGATGAAGAAAGTTAAGAAAAAAGTGGTGCAAAAGTTGCTTGGCAAGTCCTAATTTGTGTTTTTTGTCCACCAAGCCTTTCTGGTGGACAATGTTATCTATAATATTGGACTCAAGTTTGCAAATTGGAAGCCTCTACTTTATCAGAACCATTGTTAGAAGTGTTAGAAGCATGTTCAGTTCTAGGTCAGTGTAAGATACACATTTTGCTTATTGGTTATTTGTACATTTTACTTGTCTTTCTCTAGTTTTGGCTTTTGGCCTTGCTGATACCAAGCGGATTATTCTGTGTGATGTAGAAAAGCCTGAAAGCTTGCACTCCTTCTCTGTGGAGTTATCTATTACATACATGCATTGGATGGAAGTAACTGAGGAAAGCAGGTGAGTCTGAAAAGAAATAAATCACAAGCCATGTAATGCCACCTTACTGATAATTTATATGTGGAATGTTACAAGCAGTCACATAAAGTAATACAGTATTCCACAGCTGTGGGGTTTTTTCACCACTTGGCTAAAATTTTCCTTTTTTTAGAAAAGACACTTTTCATGTGCTTATTTTTACTGCTGATACCTTAGTGTTGTGGTTCTTTGGGTAATACATTAAATTTCAGCATAATCTTGTGCTTCTTCTTAAGAGCTGCTTAATCTAGTGTTAGCATGTACAGCCTGTTGTATTGCAGGTTTGGAGAGAGTTTAAACAGAAAGCCTCTGACAGTAACTGATTTACAGGCAATGAAGGATTTGGTGACAAGCCTCTGAGCCAGCAGATACAAACTTTATTCACTGGAAATAAAAAAAGATTTTCAGTTCTTTTATTAATTTGATCACTTGATAAATTATTAAAGGTCCCATAAAGGATTATCCTCTGACATTTGTAATTTTGATATATACATAATGCATTGAATATATACTCTTAACTCTGGAGTTGAAAAGAAAGTCTGTTATTTTTACAGCTTGTGTAATAAAGACAATATTATGTCTTTTTCAGTGTTCTCACTTCCTTTTACAATGCTGAAGATGAATCAAACCTCCTTTTGCCTAAATTACCAGCGCTACCAAAAAAGTAAGTGTTAGTCTCTTGAGGAAATACCATTTGTCATTTGTTGTCATTATTTCAGTTATTCATCTTTAATGCTCAAAAGCTGTCTGATTATTGTTACTGAGAGTAATTATTTTGTTTTCAGTTACAGTACTACTGCAAAAATTTTCAGGTAAGAAATTGTCATATTGTAACTCACTCTTTTTTAATTTTATTTTGTTTTCTGGTATTGAGACAAACTACATAAACATCACTTGTTTTGTATTTTCAGTGAAGAAAAGTCAGATGAGATTATGAAGCTTCTGGGTGATGTCAGGTAAATTCTGGCTGTGGCTTGTTGGTTGAGGGTTTTTGTTTAGTTGCTTTTTTTAAGGGATAAAATAATGGATAATTGAGTTTACTGTTAAATTATTCATAATTGTTTTTTAAGTCTCGGAGAAATGATATGGAATATCTTTTCTTATGTGCAAAGATAAAGTTCAAAGACTATATTAAAGTTTCCATCAGTCAACTTTTCTCCTTAGTTTAGAGGGATTATAAGGCAGTTTATCTGTAACTGCTGTTGGTGTCATATCTTCTTAGCAGATTTCTTGGGGTGCATTTGAAGGCTGATTTATGTGTTACTTAAGCTGGTCTTGGAGACATTTTTGAATGCTTGTTCTATACAGAGAATTCCTGGAGGTTTGTATGAGTGTGACAAATCTAAACTTAAAAGTAGCTCTGAAACTAGTTGTGTCAGTGTTACTTTAAAATAAACATCTGTTATTAGGGAACACATGAAGGGCAGCTGGTGGAAGTGTAATTTAGCAGACTGAGACTGGCTTTGTGCAGTGCCTTGTGCTGCTTTTTTAAGGGGGGCACTTAATGTCTGTGTCTTGTTTTTTCCATTTCACTGTTCCTTACAGTCTCACCACAGAACCACCCTTCCTAATTCAAATCTGCATCTCTGTCTATCACCAGATGCTCCTCTTTAAAACTTGATAGCTCTTCTTACAGTAGGATTTCCTTGCTTGGGAGAGAGTGAGCTGTCTGTGGTGTAGGAGCTTTGTGAATTCTCTCTGCTGTCTTCATCTGCTCAATTAATCAAACCAAAAGTTTTTAGGATACTGTTTTCCTAAGTTCTGTGTTGGCTTTAAAAGAAATAGTCTGTTTCAATGTATATTTGTTTAGATATGTAACAGGCAGAAGTTGCATTTCATTTTCTTGTATTTGTAGGCTTTTTCCCAAGCCAGTGTAG